GCTTTTGAAAATTCTATATGTTAGGATTGGATAGAACATTTGATTTTGCAATTGGCTACTTCAACCTGACTTAGTACTCTTTTAGTACCCCCCTTCTTTATGCTGTTCCAAGACTTTCTCTCTACTGTCCCAAGACTATTCAGTGTTGTCCCAGTACTTCTTGTTAGTGTCCCAAGACCACTGTCCCAAGACCCTTGCCCTAAGACTACTGTCCCAAGAATACTGTCCCAAGACTACTGTCCCAAGACTACTGTCCCAAGACTACTGTCCCAAGACTACTGTCCCAAGACCACTGTCCCAAGACCAGTGTCCCAAGACCACTGTCCCAAGACCACTGTCCCAAGACTACTATCCCAAGACTAGTGTCCCAAGAACACTGTCCCAAGACTAGTGTCCCAAGACTACTGTCCCAAGACCACTGTCCCAAGACCACTGTCCCAAGACCAATGTCCCAAGACCACTGTCCCAAGACCAATGTCGCAAGACCACTGTCCCAAGGCCACTGTCCCAAGACCACTGTCCCAAGACCACTGTCCCAAGACCACTGTCCCAAGACTACTATCCCAAGACCAATGTCCCAAGAACACTGTCCCAAGACCACTGTCCCAAGACCAATATCCCAAGACCACTGTCCCAAGACCAGTGTCCCAAGACCACTGTCCCAAGACCAGTGTCCCAAGACTACTGTACCAAGACCACTGTCCCAAGACTACTGTCCCAAGACCAGTGTCCCAAGACTACTGTCCCAAGACCACTGTCCCAAGACTGTTTCGTACCAAGACTGCTCTGGTCCAAGACTGTCCCAAGACTGCATTGTCCCAAGACTGTCCCAAGACTGCTCTGTTCCGAGACTGTCCCAAGACCGTGTTGCTCCAAGACTGTCCCCAGACTGCAATGTCCCAAGACTTCTTCGGTACTGACCCAAGACTTGTCAATGAGTGTCTCGATATCGGATCTCTTCTTCTTCGTTGTAGGGACTCTTGAACCACTGTACCTTTTACCACCACTTGAGTTCTTGTAAAAATTTCCCAAAATCCCTTTCTTAATGGCCAAAACCCAAATACTAATCCCCCAGTATTTATATCCCTCTCGATGTTTCAGGCTATTTGAAACCCTAAATTCCTCGCAGGTATCTTGTGATCACCTGTTCGTTCAAATACCAACAACAAATTTTCACCAAAACGTAAAAATTTAAACAGGAAAAATTTCAAAAACAGAGAGATGAATTCTCTTAAAATTCAAGGTTGACAGATGTCAATCTTTGTCCGAAAAAATGTCTGGTACCCGATTGCCGCGCGTTTTTCTCCCCCCCCCCCCCTGTTAGCGATCTTATGGGTTATCACGAAAACTGTCTATGTCCGTTCCCCCCTAACGATCCGACCAGGGTACCTACCTTAACCTGATTTTAAATTTGGATATCCGCTTCTTATAACCAACGCGTGTAAGTATTTAATGTAACTAAATCGACGATGCCGAACAATTAGTTACTCTAACGTGTCCCCCCTTTTTACAATTTACAACCGCTAACCTCTAACCTAACCAGCCCCCCTTCTAACCTCCCCCCTCTTTAGCCCCCCTCTTAAGCCGAAAAAACCCTTAAGCGCCGGCTGCTAAACCTCTCGAGAGAAAACCGTAGACCTGTTTCCAGGCCTGCTTGTGTAAAAACTTCCTCAAAACAATGGGGCTCCGCTTATCCAATTTTACACTTATCTCCTATAATGTAAAGTGGATTTTAACGATACCCGTTTGCCCAAATTGAGAACAACCCTGTGCGTCCTCTTCTTGTTGTAGCGATCCCGTGCTAGTTGTCCCCTTGACGTGCACTGCACTTGACACCAGCACCACCTTCCCACTTGGCTGATCACCTCTTCCAGTCAAGTTTCCTAGCGGTTCAGCTCAGTACTTGTGAACCACTTTCCCACTCTGCTGGTCACCTCTTCCAGTCAAGTCTCCTAGTGGTCCGGTTCTGTCCTTGTGAACCACTTTCCCACTCGGCTGGTCACCTCTTCCAGTCAAGTCTCCTAGAGGTCCGGCTAGGTTACAAGCTATCTGAAAACCCGTAACAACGCCCCCCACTTGGGCACCTTATTGATGTCACTGGTTTAGATTGCTAGATTGATCGAAACGATCGGTCTTATAAAACAGTATGGGTATACTATTTAAATAATATCAAGGTTTGATCCAACTAATCTGGTATCCAAGTCACTGTCTTTTTGTTCTATGGTTTTTTGTTCCTTTTTCTATACTTTTTTCTTGTTTTTGTTTCGCTTTTGTCTTTTTGTTTGCTTTTTGTCCCCCTAGTTACCCCCCCTTACTCGGTTAGCTAGGCCTCGTTCGGAGAGCGTACCAGGAAGTTTTCTCAAGTTTTCTTAAAAAGCTATCACGGTACAACCGGAAGGTTTACACGTTCCCGCTGAACCGTACCACCGGTACTCTAGAATGGGCATGCAGCCCGGAGCTGTGTCAAGTGGGTTCGACTCCGTAGTCATGATGTCGTAAAAACACCCAGGAGCGCCATAAAAACACTATGTAACAGTCGCCTACTTCGGTCACATATGAGGCTTAAGAAAAATAGGCCCTATAACCATTGGCTCAAGAGTCAGGGACACTAACTCTTGTGTTTTTCTACCTCAAAAACGGTCGGAGCCAATTCGGTTCGATTGCGACATGAGACTAGAACCCGTTACAGCTTAAAGGCTACTACCAAAATATCCCCCACTCTAGAAAATAAGAACGTCCCCATACTTAGGTCTCGAGATACCCAAAATACACGAACGCCGTTAAAAACAGGGTCGGAACAATCCGTTAAGTTACTTTTTATTGGACAGTGGAACTTTGATCCATTTCAGATGGATCAACCTAAAACTCGCCTTATCTCAACATAAAAATCATAAAACACACTCGAGAAAACTAAATTAGGAACTCACATGTTGACGCACTCGAGTATAAGGAGTAATTAAATTGATGAGCAACTCGAGAATTAAATAAAATAACTTGATTAGTTCAATACTAACCAGTTTTAATAAAGAAAATAAGTTTAGACTCTAGAATTGAAGTTGTAGTCTGAACCATTGGGACACTCAAGCTGTCCACCTTTCCGTTGAAGGTTCACTCTGGTTCAGTATGAATAATTGCACTCTTTTCTCGTGATTATCTCTCTGTGACATTCGACCAGAATGGCCGAAATGCAATCTCTGCAGAATTCGAATTTTTAGCAGCGAGCCTTCCGGATTGGTGATTATTAAGAATTAAGAACGTTATTTGAACGATTGAACAAAACGTGAAGGTTAAAGGATTCGGAAATTGCTGATTTTTAAATTTTCGAAGTGATTACGTAACATTTCTGAGAAACGTCAGAAACGGCCATTTTGGCAGAAAAGCTAGAAAACAAGAGAACAACATTAGCTACGATCACGAGAAGTACGGAAATTGTGAGAAAAAACGACAACAAATCGCGGAGTTAACAGAGAGCACTCCGAGTTGCAACTATTGTGTCGCTACAATAGTTGCAAGGCCGTTGCAGACAACGGTGAAGGGTGGAGAACAGCCTTCCGGATTAAGAAGAAATCAAGATTAACGAGCTTGATTCAGTGGTCTTAGCCAGTCGTCTTAAGACTTAGTTTTGTTTTCCGTCGATATGTATCTTCCGGGCAAATGTTACACTCCTCCTATTTCAGGATGAGACGGCTCTACTCGTGTCTTATTTTGTATCTGGAAATTGCGAAAAGCAATTGCCTGCTGTTTTCTTAAGTATTTTCCCGCAATTGTAAATTCGGTCGTTCTGATTTTTCACTTTTTTTTTTCAGTTGTTCCGAGAAAACTGAGAATGACAGGCTCCATTCGAAATTTTAAAAATTAAAACTTCACTCGAAAACCACGTATTTTCGTGTCCCTCAAGGTCAAACTTCCAGATATGAACGACTCACACACCTCTTTTCATCATCGGAGCTGATCACGATCTCCTCCCAAACCTTCAGCTGTTCATAGGATCGCATCCACTCCTTTTGCTCCTGCAATCTCTTCGCTTGATTGGGTAAACTCTTTACCCTCGACTCTCGGTTCAAACAGAAGGAATTGTGAAGACTCAGGCTCACATTCTTCGCCAGGTCTTCGTCTAGTATCGACTCCCTGGCTCTGGTGTTGTTTCTGGATACTCTACCAACTCTTTTCCATCCCGTCGTGATCGCATTTCGATGGGTCAGCAGAGGTGTCTTGGAAGCCTCCGGTCCTACTCGGCCTTTAAGCTGTAACGGGTTTTTAGTCTCATGTCGCAAGTGAACCGAATTGGCTCCGACCGTTCGAGGTAGAAAAACACAAGAGATAGTGTCCCTGACTCTTGAGCCAATGGTGATAGGGCCTATTTTTCTTTAACCTCATATGTGACCGAAGTAGGCGACTGTTACAGTTTTACTAATCGTCCCAATAACGTCACTAATCTCTAAAAACTGTCAATTCGGAAGGTTAGCTGCTAACAATTCGAAATCGCCGAATCTGCATTTTCCTTCATTCTGGTCGAATGTCACACTGAACAAAAACAATAGTAATATAATATAGTAGTAGTAGCCCTGTTTGTAGGAGTGACCTCGTGGTCTGGGGATACTGAGACCCAACCATGAGCTCACTATTTCTGCACATAATTAAGTTAATTAGAGCGTTCTGAACGAAGCCGGAAACAGTAACGGTTTTTTTTCGTCGACCCGATGTTAGAAAGACCACCAAAAGAACTGGCTTTGGCAGAGACGGTGAAAAGCATGTAGAGCTGTTTTTAGACGCTAGCCAGTCGTATTAGAACCTAGCTTTTTTTCCGTCGATATGTACTTCCGGGCGAATGTTACATTTTAAAAAATTACTTCTGTCCCTAAAATCGAAATTAAACTTCTAATTCAAGGTCAAACTTCTAAATATGACCGACTGGCACAGTATTCAAGCCGACCAGATTGGGAAAACTAACTCCTTCATCTATTCACCCAAAATTTAACTTTTCGCTTGTTTTCAGGTAATATTTTGAGAAACAACCGGATGATATGAGTTTGCTGAAAATTTTATCGGGTCGTCAATTGTTGTCTTACCCTATGAGATTCTCCTCTAACGGCAACATCAAAGATACTAGTGCGTCCGTCAAAACCGAAACAGATTCCAATAAGAGCGAAGAAGGGAATAAATCTGCCAAGGAAATCGAGAAACAGAGTGAAATTAACGGGCCTAAAGGGCCTGAACCTACGCGGTACGGAGACTGGGAAAGGAAAGGGCGGTGCATTGACTTCTGAAATGGTAGTTAAAGACATTTTGATTGTGAAATAGTTAGTGCTGCAATGTAATTATCATTTATCAATGGTTCTGTAATTGAACTACCACTTTAGTAGTAATAGGAGGATGTTATTTCCCTTTCTTCCAGTTTAATACAAGTGAACCCTACGTTTTAATTAGTAGACAACCCTTATTTCTTACTCGTTAAAAAGTAGACCAACAAAGTATTGAATTTTTGTTGATCCTAAATGTGAGAGCGTAAAGAAACTTAGAAACGAAAATATTAAATTAATATCTGAAATGCCCCAAGTTAGTGATTGTGATATTAAAGAAAAGAGTGACCAGGCCGGTCCGAAGCAGTAACGACTGAAACCAAACACTGATCGCCGCATATAATGACCTGGCCCATCTAGACATTTAATGACTTCGACTAAACACTGACCGCCGCACATGGAGTAGGGACAGTAGAGAAACAGGGATCAATGTTAATATTCTATTCGAAAACGTTTTCGGCTTTCGGCATCAGTCTAAAAATAGTACAAAATACAAAATCATACTTCATTATAGGTATGTCAGAACCAGGCGCAAAATATATGGCCATATAATGGGGTTTCCGCCCTACATTATGCCAAAATCATCCTTCTTTCCCTCCATTATTTCCATAATCGCTCTGGAAAAATAAATAATGGCCATTATGGGTTTTATTCGTTCCATAATTATAAATGAAAAATCAAAACAAATTATTCAATTTTACAAAATTTTCTAAGCGAGTTAAGTATCCCAAAGCTCTTTATTGACTTTTAAGAAAAGAGTAGCCTCAAGGTGACGTGGAGACATGCTTTACAAACTCGGTTTGAGCAAAGCAAAACCACGCTGGCTCAATGCGAACAATACAAGTGCGCGCGTTGTTTGTTTTGCAGGTGAACGCGCTTGCTCGCTCACTATTTGTTTTACACAATGGGGTTACGTCATCCCTAAATTATGGCGATAATCGAAGGTAGTTCCATACATAATGGCCATACTTTTTGTCCTTTCCCAATATTTTTGGGGAAGCCCTGGTCAGAACTGACATAAAATAACCGAAACACTAAACCGTCAATGACGAGTGTCACAATAAAGTAATTTAAAACTGCATTGTCAGAGGGCGGCCCGCGTACTCCTCTTTGGTATTCAACCCTGGTTTGAGTTTCTCGATGTAAAGAGGCGCCAGGGTGGCTAGCTTAATGACATTGTAGCTCGAATCCAAGATTTTCCTTTGATGATCAGAGTCGCATTCCAACAGATGCTGTCCGACCGGGGAACTAGACGTGCTCAGTGATGCGCGTAGTCAGATGTCGGGCAGTCATCCCGACATAGCAAGCTTTGCAGCTTGAACACTCGGCTTCTCAGCTCGTCCGGAATGCGTTATTTCAGAGAAGGTTAACAAGACTTAAACTTCCTGACAGTGAAGACAATGCTGATCTTGCTGCAAATGGGCTCCACTTTTTTCAACAGTTTATCGGAAACCAGACCCAAATACTGAACCACGAGGAGACTCAAGTTTTGTCGGTTCAGTTGCCGCTTGTTATTTAATATTTGAGTTTTTATTAATTGCCATCGACTGTGTTTATGGACCTGTTTTTTGCAAATAGAACATGATTCCAGACAACTATTTCAATTTAAAAAAAAATTGTTTAAAAGTGTTTTTTAAGTACTTTTTTTTGGACTTTTGGCTTTCTTTTACTGTCTGCTAGCTTGCACTGCTACTTGTCTGTTGTATTGCAAGTGGTGCCAAGCGGCGCTTTGCCTCTGTGTCAGGGCGGTGCCTTGACATCCCAATTCTGTTTGGGTACTGTACTGTTTTTCAACTTAATGACCTGTCTACTCTTTGCTGTGTAACCCAATTAATTGTTATGGAACCCTCGAAGTGGCGAGCGAGGAACTATGGCGCATATTTGATAATTTTATTTTCAAGCGGTTTGAGGTATCTCAATGCAAGATCATGGATAATCTTGTATCGCTTTCCTCGTGATGCGGGCTCCAAATTGATAATTCAAAAAAGTTGACTCAGTGTCTCCGTTTTCCACTCAAATTTGAGCTAGAGTGATAGTCGTTCTCAATCTTACTCTTTAATTTCTGTCTCATAATGTATGGATTAATGTAAAATAATATATGCCGCTGCGAAACCAAACATCCGAAGGGGCGCAACCAAACATCCGTGTAAAAGGGTGTGTTTCAATATAACTGCATTGAAGCATTGCACCTAATGTTGCCATAATGATTACAGGAGCATGCGCTTCAGGCCATTTGTGTTAAAAGTATTGACTTGTTGTTAACAGAGTGCAAGTTTTCAAACCTTAAATCTGGATTGAGGCACTCGCGTAACAGTCTTCGATACAAATTCTTATGAAATCTTTATGCGAGGAAAAATCATCAAGAAGCTTGCGATTAGCAAGCGTTACCAAATTGATACACATTTTTCCCATCTAAATCACTTGTCTAGAAGCATCATTGAATCATTTCGAATGTTCGCTTCATTATAAATTCAAATTCCACGTCATCTTCGGCCTATCATGTCTAATGTTTATCCCCATAGTAGCCACAGTGCGGAATTTTGTTTTAAACTGTTTTCATTTTAATTTTAATTTCCCTTGCGGCTAGCCTTGTAGAATTTTCCCGTTAATAATTTTTTAGCTCACAGGATAGTCAATTTAGATGGAATGTTGTTAAATTTCACTTCTAAAATGCTTGAAAATTCAAATAAACTACCATCATTTAGGTAGTAATAAGGTAAAGTTGGTAACGTCTGTCGTTTCATTTTCCGTGTTTGTTTAAATGCTATTTGGTACGGTTTTTTAAGGGCAAACTTTCTTAATCGTGGGTTTTATTACAATTTATAACTTTTTTTTCCTACTATAATTGAAATTTTAAACTATAATTTGTTAATCTACCAAGTCTAACTTCGATTTATATATCTATTATATATTTAAATACGGGCTTCACTATCTCGTCACCTCTAAGTTTTTTCAACGTATTGCTTTTCCATATTTAACTAAAGATTTTTTCACATTTAAGCTATATCGTGAATTGTAATGAAGAAATTTTTCCAGTTTTAATTCGGTGTTTTTTTTACCGAATTCAAAATAAGCAACCCAATAGTGGGATGCTTTCAGGGTTCCCCAGGGGTTGCAAGTTTGGCCTCGAATTATGAATGCCCAAATCCTTTTAGTTTGTGAGATGAGACGATTTTTGTGATTTTTTTCTGAAAGTTCAGAAAGTGTTCAGAAAACTCAAAAATTAATTTAAAAAAAAAATAAGGAAATTACCCGCCCTGTAGTGTAGTTGGGTGCTGTCATAGTATTCTCAAGGATTGCGAATCTTGCCTCTAAAAATGACTTCGCAAATTTTTGTAGTTTTCGAGATATGACGTGTTTTCTGATTTTTTAAAACTTTTTCAGAAAACTTAAATTTTAAAAAAATCAAATGATTTGAGTTTCCCAACCTTGTCGTTGGGTAATGTGAGGGTAATCTCATGAGTTTCAAGTTGCAAATCTTGAGTTCAAATGCGACTGCTCAAATTCTCTTCGTTTCCGATATGTGACGTTTTTTTTTACTTTTTTAAAATTGTTTGAAGAACTTAGATACGAAAAATTTCACAAAATCTTTATAGTGAGGCTCTGTCAGGGCACTCTAATGGGTTGCAATTTTACCTCTAAATATAATTGCTCAAATGCTTTTTGTTTTTGAGATAAGACGTTTTTCTCTGTAAATTGTCAGAAAACACCAATTAAATTTTTTTCTTCTAAATTTGAATTTCTCAACCCCATAGTTGGGGACTCCCAGGGGTTGCAAATATGACTGCTCAAACCTTTGTAGTTTTTCAGATATGATGTTTTGTGTGATTTTTTCAAAAAACTCTCAGAACTTAAATTAATTTTTTTCTTCAAAATATGAAATTACGAACCCTGTATTTGTGGGATATCAGAATTTTCTTAGGGGTTGCGATCCTTGTATCCAATCATTACTTTCAAATCTTTGTATTTTCCAGATATAACGTTTTGTGATGTTTTCGAAAAAATTTTAAGATTAAGCTTAAAATTTGAAATTCCTAACCCTGGAGTACTCTCAGTGGTTGCAAATCTTGTATCCCTTTATGATTCCTCAAATCTTTGTAGTTTTTCCAGATATGACGTTTCGTGTGATTTTTCAAAAAAAATAAATAAAATCAGAAATTAAATTTATGATATTTTTCAAAGTTTGAAGTTCTTAACCCTGTAGTTGGGGCTGTCAATGTACTCTCAGGGGTTGCAAATCTTGCCTTGAAACAAGAGTGCTCAAATTTTTCTAGTTTTTGAGATGTGGCGTTTTTCATGGTTTTTCAAAAAATGTATATTTTTTAGAAAACTTAACTTTGAAGTTTCTCAAAATTCGAAATTCCCAACCGTAGTTGGGTTCTGTGAGAGCACTCTCAGGAGTTGCAAATATTGCGTGCAAATGCGACTGCGTCCAAATTAAGATATTCCGAAGAAATTATAGAGATATAAAAAACTTTTTACCTCAAATTATGATTGCTCAAATTCCTTTAGTTTTCTTAATAAGACGTTTTTTGGAATTTTTAAGACACTTGTCAGAAGACATAAATTTAATTTTTTTTTCTTCAAAATTTGAAATTCTCAACCCCGTAGTCGCCAAAATTGCCAAAAGTTCGAAGCATCGGAGGTGCGTTAAACGCTAGTTTTATTTATTTCTTGTTTTTTTTTCTTATAAAAATTATTGAAAAAACTGCACGTTTTTATTATATCGATTGAATAAACGGAGATAGTGCATAATTTCGATGAGTCGTGAAATTTTTTTGAAACTTTTTGAAATTTTTTATGGCAACAGTTTTGTTTTCGGCTCAACAGGGTTCGATCCAAACTTCTGTCCCTTTTTCCATGCACTGTTTCGTAGCGCAATGTTTTTTTCATTGCAAGTGTTGCGAAGCTCCGCTTAGCTTCTGTGTTCAACTGGTAATTTATTAACCCTGGTTTTGTTTAATGTCTTCA